CAGACTCGGAACTTCAATCTGTGGATCACACAAAGAGTTGTTCCGTGCGGGAATCGAACCCGCGTCACGTTGCGCGGCAGCCAGTTGCCCAGGCACCGCGCCAACCGTGCAGTCATTAATTAGTTGCAATCAATTTCGTCCTTATTTGCAACTTGCCTGCGGGAAAGATATAAATAAATAATGACACTTACGCAGCCATGGGCACCATGCGTCCGTTGCAGTCGAAGGAATCTATCAACGACATATCTTCCTGCGACAGTTTGAAGTCGAACACATCAAAGTTGCTCGCGATACGGGACGCCGTCACTGACTTCGGTATCACGATGTTGTTCCGATCAATTTGATAACTGAAATTATTAAAAATAATACATAACATCACGCCTTTTATCCCCGATGGAGTGCATATTATGCCACTGTACAATGTAACACCCAATTTTCACTATTTATGTTATGAGTCCCATGTAATAGGGGGTGAGTCTATTGCCATATACCGGGTACAATTCCAGTCTCCGTGCTTCTACTGAGATTTTTACAAAACCCAGTAATACTTTGCCCGACCCGGGAATCAAACCTGAGACCCCTTGCCCGGCACTCGCACTTACGACCACTCGGTCAACGAGGCAGTCAGAGATCAGCAGACAGAGGCATATATAATAAGTAGAGACGGATAATCCTAGAGAGCTTCCTAGGCACCACACAGACAACCCCTAATTTGTTTTTGGAGCGAAAATAAACACAATGTGGGAGAGCCATGCTTCGGCACGAATGGGCCGGCTCGACCGGAGTGATACCACGGCCGAGCAGAAAACCGACGTGAAACAACGCTTGCGTTGTGTTTCGTCGTGTGAGTGAGGTTATCGGAGGCCCAATTACCCTCCCCTTCCCCAATCTCCCCAATCCCTGAATCCCCAACGATCCTCAAACTCCTAATCCCCGGTAAAAAGCCGGTGACGCAATTGTATCGCCTCTGGTGTTCCAGGTGTCCATGGGCGACGCCGATTGCTTACCATCAGGTGATCCGTCTGCTCGTTTACCGGCTTATGCCATAAAAAAAACACAGGTCAACCTTAGACCCTTGATTTTTAGAAGCAGTCTGTCTTTCATTCTTTCTTTCTTTAAAAATCAAAAAAAATAAATGAAACTTACCGAATCAGAACTTGAGCGACAGTTTTGCCGAGTCTATCAGCGATGGCCTTCAGCTTGGGGTCGTCCAGCAGACTGGGGTCGTCAGGCTTGGCCCAGGGTCTGTCAGGAGACCCCAAGGGGGAGTAAGCTGTGATCGTAATCTTGCGCGCCTCACAGAAATCTTTTAAACGACGCTGGTTCAGGTAGGGATGACATTCGATCTAAAAAAAAAAGTGAAATTGCGACAATCATGTTCTTAATCGCCTCTGTCTCGTTGGCCGAGTGATCCGCAAGTGCGATTGCCGGGCAAGGGGTCTCGGATTTGATTCCCGTATCGGGCTAACTACCTATTAGTAGGTTTTAAAAAAATTCTCAGTCGTAGCACGGAGTCTGAAATTGTGCCCGGTATATGACAATAGACTCACCCACTATTACATGGGACTCATAACATAAATAGTGAAAAGTGGGTGTTACATTGTACAGTGGCATAATTTGCACCTCTGCCTACTCCTTCGGGGACAAAATATTATAATGATGATGATCTTAATATAACCATGCAAACACCGGAACACTGAAGTCCAACGTCCCAGGAACATGAACAAACTGTCTTGGTTCCCGCAACGAAGTGAATCAGAAGATATTATAAGAGGAGAAGAAAAAAACTCACTTGGTTGGTCACGGGCACAATGCTAGCATGCTCCAGCAGCCTGGCGACTTGCTTGGAGTTAAAGTTTGAGATGCCGATACTCTTGACGAGACCCTCGCCAACGAGTGGCTCCAGGGCCTTCCACGTGTCCACGTAATCCACGTCCGAGAATGCTATCTTATCATTTTCGCCCTTTGGGAATAACTCGCCATCTTCCTGCAAAGAAAATAATTAGTTTTTAGTTCACCAACCTGTTCTAATATTAAGGAACTCCTAAGCTAAGATAGGAGTCGCGGAGGACTTAATGAGTTGCCGGGGCTCCGGGTATCGAGCGCGAGATCCCTTGCCCGGCAGTCGCACTTACGACCACTCGGCCAACGAGGCAGTCTCCAACGTCTTGCTAAATTTTTTATGCCATAAGCCGGTAAACGAGCAGACGGATCACCTGATGGTAAGCAATCGGCGTCGCCCATGGACACCTGGAACACCAGAGGCGTTACCAGTGCGTTACCGGCCTATTGGGGATTAGGAATTTGAGGATTGTGCAGGATTCAGGGATTGGGAAAAGGGGGGGAGGGTAATTGGGCATCCGGTAACCTCACTCACACGACGAAACACAACACAACGTTGTTTCACTTCGGTCTTCTGTGAGGCCGTGGTATCACTTCGGTCGAGCCGGCCCATTCATGCCGAAGCGTCTTAAAGCTGAGGAGAACTTAACGGGTTACTGGGGCTCCGGGTCGAAGTGCAGGAGGAGGAACGGGGTGGTTTTTAGTCAGTAAGAGTCTGACACTCCCTCCCGCCTCACCCAGGCGGGAGCAGTCATTCGATGATTTTCTCCCCTTAAAAAAATTCAAAAACATTTAAAATATAAGGTACCTTGTAAGCCTGGGGCCAATGAATGAGGTAGAGGTCCAGATATGAGAGGTTGAGATTCTCCAAACTCTTCAGGAGTGCACCCTTCACCAGGTCCGGTCGGTGGAAGGTGTTCCATAGCTTGGAGGTGATGAACAGGTCCTCTCTGGAAAAAATTGGTATATTTATATTAATATCTCCGGTACTACCATCGGTTGAATTGAATCATTATTTTTGTATTTACTGCTTCGTTGGCAGAGTGGTAGCAAACGTACGACTGCCGTGCAAGAGGTCTCGGGTTCGATTCTTGGGTAGGGCAGTTTTTAAAAAAATCTTAGAAGTAGCACGGAGTCTGGAATTGTGCCCGGTATATGGTAATAGGCTCACCCCCTATTACATGGGACTCATAACATAAATAATGGAAAGTGGGTGTTACATTGACTAGTTTCAAGCCATGTTAGAAGCTCAGTAGACGTGAGACTATAATAGCCAGTACCGCGGGGCGTGGAATGCTGCTCATGAATATGATCTCATTAATATGAGCTACTTTTTGTTCTACGGGATCTGGATCGAAGCCGCTGTTAATATAAACAGAACTTACCTTTTAACAGTGCCATCAGCGATCTTAGCAGAGATGGCAGCACCGACCTCCTTCTCATTGCCATAGACATAGGCGCAATCTATATGTCTATAGCCAACTTCTATGGCTGTTTTCACGGCTTCCGTAACTTCGCCTGGTTTCGACTGGGGACAAAACAAAACATTATCAGTTAATATTAACATTTTTTTAATTGAAAATGAAAGTGTTTTTGATATATCAATAAAATTACTGAATAGGGTAGATGACTAATTTTTATTTCGTCCGTCTGGTAGATTATTTAAAAACATTAGACACGTATTTTTTATTTTCTTACCGAAACGAATCGTTTCGAAGATATATTGATTTGAAATGTCGCGTGACGTCACTTCTATGATGTACATTTTATACGTAGAAATGACGTAGCTACCTCTTACTCCTAAACTTTGATTCGTTTTATCTAAGTATTGTTTTCTTATACGACAAAATAAAAAAATACGTGTCTAATATGTTTTCATTATCTAAATGACGGACTAATTAGATTTTTAATTGTCATACCCTGTCATCATCCCTATTAGACTTTTCGTTCTTTTTTTTACTTTTAAAGAGAAAACGTTACACCACTCTGGTATTGTCTCCTGGGGGCCTACCACAACCTTTTATGAAACAATCTTATAATAAGAAAGTTTTGTTTCATGCTTAAAACAATCTTACTCTATTTCGTACCATGACCTTAATTACTCAATAATATTTTATTCCTGCTAAGTGATGCGAAAGAACGAATGATTTAAACACATTGTCTATTCCTTACTAGAAAACAAAACGGAACAGCGCTATAAATGTTGTATAGCACTATCTCTTTCACACATGTGTTCCGAATCACATCTTAGTCACTGCAGCGTTTTGGTATTTTGGCGAAAAAATAACTTTAAAATAGTAGTTTTACATTAACAGATTATTAATATATGGATTACGTGTTTAAATATATGCATTTTTGGTCTTTTTTAACTTTAAAAGGTAAGAAAAATGGTTTTGTAAGTTATCAATATTGAGGCCGAATATTCATTATAGTGAATCGGACCTACACATAGATCTACTTATATTGGTTTGGTTGTAAAAATATCGGCGCTATAGCGGCGATAGACGAAATTCAAAACTTCTACTTGGAATTTCAAGTGTTTTGTCAATCAACAAAATATAAACAATTGGGTAGGTAACTGTGAGGGCCATAACGTACTATTCTTAGCACTTTATGGTTCTCGTCATGGAAACAAGGTATATATTTTTAATTAAAGGTAACTTGTAGAATTTATTTATTAAATATTCTATTTTTATCATGTACTTACAATACTTTAGGTGGTATAGCGTAATTATTTATTTTGCAGCAGAAGAGTATA